CAACTCCCAGAATTCCCCAACCAGCCATGCTGGCTGGGGAATTCTGGGAGTTGAAGTCCACATGTCTTAAAGTTGCCAAGTTTGAAAAACACCGCATTAAACCATGAAGAACTTTCTTCGTGCTTTGTATCTCATGCGAATCCAGCCAATTGGAGGTGACTTGATCAAACACAGCTAACAAATCTTGGCTTAGCCCAACACGGAAAGCTTGTTGAGGTGTCTCTTACCATCTCATCACCTGCCTCCCCCGCAGATTCTCTGGTGAAATCCCCCTCTAAGACCTCGGCCAAGGACTCGGAGATCCGAAGTCTCCAAAATGAGGTGGCGACTTTGAAGAGACAATTGACAGGTACTTGTAGAATATTATTTTCGGGGAAGAGCGAGCCTCTTTCGGGATCATTTTACTGCACGGAACAACAAAGGCAGCCCTTGGCCAACCTTATCTAAGCTGGGAAGTAAAGCGGGATTGGGTTTAGTTCATGGTCAGATGGGAGGCCACCAAGAGATCCCAGGCTGGAGAACTCCAAAAATCATCCGAGAAGAAAGCAGTAGAAAACCACTTCTGCATGATTGCCAAGAAAAGTCGTAGCAGATGCGTCTCTGGGGTCACCAAAAGTCAACCTTAATGTCAAGGTAACTTTAGAGCAGTGTGTCAAAAGTTGTGAGTTCTTTCTCTGCTCTCATATAAGTGGGAGAAGCAGCTGAGCGTTCTCTCTCCTGTTGCAAGGGTGTTGAGAAAAGCCACCATGATGTCAATGATAGCCTCTCCCGCATCAGGCAAAGGACACAACTATACCTGTGTCATGGCGCCTGACGCAAGTATGTAAGTTGTGTCCTTTGCATGATGACCTCATGATGAACTTGCTATCCTTTGCCCACCCCGTGGACTCCCCATGGACCCTCCACCAGAAGGTCCCTGGAAGAGAAGGGATCACAACCAGAAGCTGCTCTTCAGCATCCTTCAACTTGGGGCTCCCCAGCTGGGTCAGGACTCCAACTCCCAGAATGCCATATCCAGCATGGAATTCTGGGGACTGCAGTCTCAACTTAATCTGGAGGCCATCGTGTTGGGGAGGAGTGCTGAACTGGTTTCAGCACCTCCAAAACGTTCGGGCAGAATAACCCCAAGGAAGAGGCTTAAATCTGGAGCGTTAAGGCCTAAGCTTGCACTCACCAGAATTTGCTCTCCGAAAATTAGGCAGGATCAGAGCATAGGAATAAGCGTGGGCAGAACAAACCCCATATATAAGGGTTATTCATTCCAGGGAATGCCAGTGACTGAAGTTTTGTTCTTTATTAAGGTGGGGTGGGGAGAAACTGCGGAAGTGTTTTGAATTTAATGTCGTTTTTTCCACGTAGCCCGTTTTTTCTCCCACGGGAACAGGAAGATGTTCTTAGCAGTGAGGTGTTCCCCTAAAGCAGTGTTTCTCAACCTTGGCAACTTTAAGACAGGCGGACTTCAACTCC